TAGCTCAGGGCAAGAAGCTACAGAGAGTGGCCTATATAGAGAGTGGGAATCTTCCTCAGGAAGGTGAAACGGGGCTGGGGCTGTGAAGGAATGCTGCCAGCCTTGGAGTTCTCCCTGAGGATACACAGTGAAAACGACAAAGTCCTGGCCCTCAAAGAGGGATACAGACAAACAGCAAAAACAATTCCACGGAATAGTGCTATGGGAAAGGGAAGAATACAGTATAGTGTGTCATACGACTATATAGAAGACATACCTCCCTCAGACACTGGGATCACAGAAGGCTTTTTGGGGGAAGGAACATCTCAAGTGAGACATCAGTGGTGAGTAGGAGTTACGTAGGTGAAGAATGGGCACAGTGAGAATGTTCCCGCAGAGGCACAATATGTGAAAAGAGGGAGGCAAGAGAGAACATTGGTGCATTTGGGGAATAAAAAGCATAGGAAACGTCCTGATGAAGTGTCATACCCACTTCAGATAAAGAAGTGAAACACAAAGATTTAAGAACTTACTCACGGTTTCCCAGCTGGCTAGACCTGAAATCCAGGTCTATTTTACCCGTAACAGGTCGTTCTTTCCGTTACTCCAAGCTGTCCCGTGAATGTCTCTAATGCTGAGTGGGTCCCCAGTATTATTACACTGAAATTGCAGATCGTGTAGAATCGGAAGAGGACAGGATTGAACCTAAGGAATGCCTACTTTTAAGGAGTAGGAGGAAGAAAAGCAGCAATTGGAAATTGAGAAAGAGCAATTCAAATAGCAGAACTACCCAGAGAGCACAGTATGACGGAACCCAAAAAACGACAGAGTTGTAAGAGGAGGGGAATAACATTTCAAATATTCAGAAAGTTAAAGAGTTAATGGGTTCTGACTCTAGATGGCCAATGATGATCTCATTTAGCTAAGGAGAAAGTAATTTCCAGGGTGGATCACAAAGGGTGGAAAAATGAGTATTAAAGATTTGGAGTGAGTGCAGATCACTTTTTCAGAAACACTGATTTCAGGGTACGGGAAGACGTAAGAAGGGAAGCTGACTCTGAGATGGAGGCAGTAGGTTTAATAGGAAGTGATCTTGGGATCAACAATAAGGGAAGGGAAGGAAGCCAGTCTGCGCAGAAGTCGAGCTCTGATGCAGGACAAAGTTTCAGCCAACCTTCAGGGCTTCCCCGCCTGGGGTGAGAGGGATGAATCTTTACATTCCCACAGAGATCAGTCATTTGATGTGGGCTGCCTGAGAAAGGGGCCTGACATGACAGCGGAGGGCCATCTGCAAGCAACATTCCCATTCTAAACAGCTGGGGTAATAAGTCCTTCTTTCTCAAAGGGGGTCCTGCCTGTGCATTCCAGAGTTTATCACAGGAATAGCTTACAAGGCTAGCAGAGCTGGGGGAGGAATATTTTTAGGATAGATAAGACTCAAGTTTGGACATAGATAGGTAAATACCATCAGACACATTCTAAATATTGTTTATTGCCTGACAACCATAACATATTAAAAAATTGGGTAATACATTTATGGAACACCTCCTATATAGCTACCCTTTGTTAGCACGAGGTGTACAAAGATAAGATAATCTCCCCCATTGAGAAACTCACAATTAGTGGGAGAAGAAAGCATTATCTTATTTGTGTTTGCATCTGTACCACCCAGCCTGTACCTGCTGCATAATAAGTTTTCAATAAATATATGCAGAATGAGTTAGTGCTAGCGTACAGTAAGAAGTGCTTGGGTAGCCCTAAAATGCAGGGCTAATGTTTCCTAGAGGAGTGAGGGAATGCATCACAGAGGGAGATATTTTAAGGGAAATTTAAATAATAATAATAATAATAATAATGAAGAGTTTTCCAGGCAAGGAAGGGGAGGGGTGGGAGGACTTAATTCCAGGCAGTTGTTTCAGAAAAAACAAAAGCATGAAAAAGAATACTTGAAGAGTGGACAGAAGGTAAGCATGGAAGGAAAAGTCTATTTAAATAAAGGGCATACATGATACAGATATACATTAACATCTATTCAGAAATGAGTTGGCCATTGTGGTAATGTGGAATGTTCAGCAAATTTACATTAATAGAATTTTATGAAAGAATTCATTTTCGAGCTAGATTTGAATGGAAGAGAATTGTTTTAGGTGTACAACATAGAGGCAATATGGTATGGTAGTTTGAATGCTGGTTCTTGGATCTAACAGATTTGTGTTCAAAGCCTGGCTCTACCACTAACTAGCTGTGTGTGTCCTTAGGCAAGTTATTTAACCTCCCTAAGACTCAGGTTCCTAATTGCAAAATTAGGTTCCTAATTTCCTGTCTCACAAATTTATTGTGAGGATTAACTCATGTTTGTGACATGTTAAATACAGTGTTTGATACATAATAAGAATTCAATTAATGTTGTCAGTTACTCTAAGTGAGAACTGGGGACCTAGAAGGCAAGAGTGGAGTGTGTACATTGGGAGAAATTGCTGAGTAAAGGAAATAGTGGGGCTGTGGTAGAGTCGCATTGTAAAATCCATTCCTATTTTCGGAATTCCTAAACTAAAGTAGAGCTTTTTCCTCTAACACTTTAGTTCATGGATGATTTCATATGTACTTCTATTTTCCCTTGAGGGGGAACAAATTGGCGCCCAACCCAACCTAAGGCAGCTTTGCCTTAGGGAGCTTGTCTGATGTAGAACAAGGACAAGGAGACAGATCGAGCTGTACTGACGTGACTTTTAGTGCTTGAGGGATCTTCATCTGGGGTCCAGGGCAGAAGATCTATAGTTCCTGCTACTGACTCTGTGTGTAGGAGCGAGAGTCCCTTGCTGGAAGCCTACTTTGACTCATATGAATTGATTACTGCTTTTCTTTCTTCTCCATTCTAAGGTATTTATTTCTGTCACACTTATTTGCAAATGTTCTTATGGTACCAAGCAGATTTTCTTGAAAACAATCAGTAAATTTTCTGAAGCCAGCAACTTCTTCCTTCCAGTGGCCTACCCCATTCTCCTCAACCCCCACCCTTTCCCTTTGCCTCCAGCTGGCCTACTAAACTATTTGCCTGAGGCAAATTTTCCCCATTCTTTCTGTTTCACTCCTGCCAGATTGAGAAATTCTGGGTTTGCTCAGGATTTTTTTATCATCGCAGGGTTTTTTTTTTTCTATCTTTTCCCTCAGGTACTGAGTCCTGGGTTTGCGTGGCTTTGCTGTCTGCCTGTGGATCACTAATTGACCAGGCTGATGCCAGCGGTTCCTTCAGATCCCCAGGGACAGACGGGGCGGCACTTTCAATCACACTCGGAGACTCCTCATAATTGCATCGGTGCTGCACGTACCTATCTGGAAAATACTCGTGGACTGTCAGGCTTGGGGTTAATTGGTTTCGGCTCACGTCTCAGGGGAGCAGAGTCCTAGTGCACAAGCAGCCCTAGTACAAGTGCCCGAACCAGTTTCACTCAGACAGGAATGGCTTCCTCAAAGAAAGCAATTGCTTTTACTCTACCCGTTTCATCCACTGGCACTCACAGGCCAGGCCGGCCTCCAGCTCCTGCCGAAAGGGACACAGATGAAATCTGAGGATAAACGTTTTCAAAGTCAATTAATTGTTCATTAATATCCAGGAGTGGCAGATATATGATGCTAACCTTTTCATGGAAGGTCAAAGATGAAATCTGATCATGCTTTGAAGGGTGTGGTTTGCCTTTTGAAATTCCCTGCCGCGTCTTTACCAATGCTGTGTTGCCCCAGAGGAGCTTTAAGTGCGTTTATCTAACCAAGGGAGGCGCACTTGTCCACATATATAGAGGCAAGAGCTGGCACTGGGAAAAGTCAAACCCCTTCTGCATCATGAAGAAGCAGGTTAAGACTGAGGCAGCTCCGCAATGTGAGCTAAGTAAGTAGCCAGCAAGATGCAACAGCCCAGGAAGTTGTCCAGCTGAGCAGACCTGGAAGGGCCACAAGAATCCCTCCAGCCATTTTATTTTCTAGTTGCACCAGAGGTTCCCAAAGGAAAGCTTCTGGTCTGGAGGGACTTCATTAAGCCTTTCTGAAACTCCCCAGATGTGTTGTAGAAAGATCTCAGAACTAATTTGTACATTTTCTTTTCTCTCCAGGAGAAATTCTGTATGGAAACCAGCCTGTACCAGATAACTGATGATGCCTGGCCCAGTTTTTTTAGTCCCTGAGTCTGTTTTTATTTGGTATTTTATTTGGATTTTTCTTTTTGCAGTTCACTTTCCTTTCCTCCTCTCTTGGACTCTTTTCTCAACTAATAAAATTTTCTCCTAGCAGTTTTTTACTGGAAGAAAGAAGTTGGAGGGGTTTATGCTTTTCTTCTCTAGGCCTACGACTTGGTATATAAGCTTGGTTATCTTTAGTGTAAGCGGTAGGGGGTCTAAGAATATTTCTGGTAGCGCTAAACGACATTGTAGAAAATTAGGGTAATTTGCCAGACCATTTATTTTCTCCCCTCTAAAGCACCACTCATCTGCCCGTCATCTTCAGAGACAGACTCTGGGGTGTGAGCTTAGGCTGGGGGTGGAGTGGGATTGCTTTTGGGGAGGTGGAGATAAAGCTCAGGGAAGAAGCGAGGCAGCTGGGTAGCACCGAGGAAAACAATTCATTACCGAGCTTGGGAGTAGGGCATCTCAGGCGGTCGAACTGGCTGCACTAGATGACGTTTCGCGTCGTTCCTCCTAGGTGTGGGATGCTCTTGGTGTGGCAGCAGATATTATGATGTGGGGGCGAGAGGAAATGGTCCTGCCAGGTGGCTATGCTTATGGGGTGGAGCTGTACCTCGCAGAGCCACGTCTCCAGAAGAAAGGGGCTTGACTGCCAGTACCTAACGAACTGCGGCAGGAAACTTCTCTGCCCCCAGACGGCCCGCGGATGGGAGCCTCCAAATCCACGCTCCGTGGGTTGGCGCGGCGCAATGACCTGCTCTGCAGCACGCAGTCCCCGCTGGTGCCGCCCAGGCGCCGCCTCCAGCCTAACCTCAGGGTGGGCGGAGCCTCGGGACTCGCCGTCAGCTGGCCACGTGCGCCGGCCGCCCCGGGAATCCGGGGAATCCAGCCAATAGGAATGTGCGGCTGCGGTCCTGTCGGCCAATCGCGGGGCGTGTAGGAGGTTGGCCGGTTTGGCGCTGGCTCCAGGACTATGGGGCCGCCGGCGCGGGGGCAGCTAGTCAGGTGGTGGCGGAGCCGGTAAGGCGAGGGGCCGGCGAGGTCAGGGGTCACGCGGGCGCTGCGCTTTCGGCGGGCGGGTGGGGAGGGCGCAGGGCGGCCTGAGGGCCAGCCTGGGAGCAGGCGGCGGGGCCACTGTGGGGCACGCGGGGGCCGTGCGGGGCTGCCAGGGGCGGTGCGGGCAGGGGGCGCTGAGGCGCGGGGTCCAGATGGAGCCGCATTGTTCGAAGGAAGCCCGAGAAGAGGGCGCCGGGGGCGGGAGCGCACACCAAAGGTCACGGGGCCTCGCCCCTTCCCGGCCGGCCGCGGCCTAGGAGAAATGGCCGAGCCCCCTGCTGGACCCGCCGCGCCTCGTGATGACAGTGCGCTGCCCGCTTCACTCTGCGGAGGAGGCCGACGGGCACAGGGCAAGGTCCCCGCGGCCGCCTTATCTGCCGAGCGCTGGGCCCCGGCTGCCCCCTGGGCCTCCCGCTGCCTCACTTCAGCGAAAAACTCCCTGTAGCTCAGCCGACGTCCATGGAGCGCCTTCGGGTGAAGGGCCTGGGCAGGCCGCGAGGACTTGTGTGTAGGTTGGTTTTAGGGCTGTTTGTGCAGCTTGCGGGCCCCAGCTACTTTGGTAGGGCTATTGTTGCACACGGTGTGTGAGCGGGGTGGATGCTCTCCAACTGCTCGCTTTCATGTCCCTTCTTTTAAAACTGTCGCTTACATTTCCATTTTCAGCCTTTGGATTCTTTTTCACTTTGCCAAATTCCCTACCTCGTATATCAGAGTGTTTCAAAGGGCATCATTAGAGGAGAAGTCGGGGAACCTGGGCTTGAGTTTTCCTGTGTGTAAAATGAAGATATATCGCCCACTGCTTTCAAAGGAGCATTACGAAGTTAAAGGAGTGTGACATCTCTTTAAAGTGGAAAACAAAAGCAGAAATTATATGGAAGGAGAGGCAAGGGGAGATAGGCTTCCAGAAACTTTTGCTGGCCATAATTTTAGTGAATATTGATGAAACCAGGGAACGCTATGTTTCCCTTGACTCCTGTGGATTCTGAAGCCCGACCGTTTGTATGGCTTCTTGGCTGTGCAAACCTTTGAGCAATTTGCTTGGCCTTTTTGTTGTTTTGTCTCCATATACTTAAGTGGGGATTGATGATAATATCAATCTTAAGGGTTGTTGATAAGTATTAAATGAGTTAATACACATAAAGTGCTTAGAACAGTTCCTGGCATATAGAAGTTTTTGTTCTTATTACCTACGTATGCCCTCTTTCCCTTTAAAGATTCCAAACTAAAGATCCTGAGCCTGTTGCTTATGAACCCTTAGGCCCATAGTTTTCATCCATGTCCTTAAACGTTGGTCTGAGGGTGTAGTATAATTAGGTGTGACTAGAGGCTTTCTGCTGGGTGTTTATCGTTAAGTAGGGTTAGAAACTATCATAATGCCAGGTCTGTCTGTAGCTGTGTTGGATAAATGACACTTGAGAACTTCTTTGGCTATTTAGTTTTTCATTGGATAATATTTCATTTACAGTCCTGGCCTAGGCACAGTTTATTCTGGACCCAATACCGAAAAGGCCATGATTGCAGCATACTTGGTTTCTCATGTTTCTGGAATAGCTGTGGGACTTGGGAGGGGAATTTCTGGGCAGCCTGGCAGCATTTCTTGTTAACGAATGGGGAAGCTTGGTACGAATCTAATCTTATTCTACTTTTAGGAAATCAGCAGTGATTCCTTGGATTACTCTAGAGAGCTGCCAAACAAGCAGCTTTGGTTCAGTTTTGACTCAGTGAAGTGAAGGTTAGAGAATGGTATCCACAAAGTAGCATCTTTCCTATTTGACTTTTCCTGCTTAGAGCTTGGGTGGACGCTGTGGAATCAAAGACATCTTTATTCCCTGCCTCCTCACCATGTACATAAATACAAATGTCTGTTGACTGATTTATGCCCTTTCTATGAGCTTAAAAGTCCCTCTCAAGTTCTCTTGGTGCTGTCTGGAAGGCTCTAATGGAAGACTATTTTGCCTTCCAATTCTCCCCTTCCAAGGAAGCTGCTATTTGTACACGTAGCATTATTGAGAACTAATCACCAATTGAGAAACTTTGAATTTACAAAAAAGAACATCGCTTACTGCAGCAGTATGCTGGCCCAATTTGGCTGAAGTACAGATGGCATAAGTTTAGTTATTTAACTTTGGAATAAGACAGTTGAGTACTTCTGTAGTACTGAAAGTTTGACGTTGGCTTGATGAGAGTGGAGGACATATCTTTGTGAAACCTGTATTTGTGCTGGCATAAGGAGGAATGAGAGTGACATCTTTAAAGAGTTGGATGTTTGAGGTAGAAAGGGAAGCCTTTTGCCCTAATATTTTTGTCTTTGTTATCTGAGTCTCTGTGGTTTGAATGAAATATTTTGGAAAAGAAAGCAGGGAGCATTTGAATGTGGAGACTATAAGGAGTTAGAAGACCTAAACCTTTGTTGTCTCACTCATCAGATGCCATTTATTCTTTTGATAATTTAACAAACATGTATTGAACAATTAACATTTGTTGGCCCCTGGAGACACAAAGAAGAGCCCTCCAGGTATTCAAGAATATTATGGATAAAATAAAACAACATATATGCCTTATAGACTATATTTTAATAAAATCAGAATGTAATATAAAACAGTTGGCCAAGAATCATAAAAATATATTTATTGTCTAATTCCTCTTCCTCTTTTAATTTAAAGTCAGAGTAGCTTACATTTTTTTAATGTAAGAACCAAAGTTTCTAGTAAAGACTTAAATTCGGAAATTAGGGTTCTCAGTCTTATCTTAGTTCTTATTGCTAGGTCATCTTGTATGGGTTATTTTTATTTGTTTTGGTCCCAATTATCACTAATTAGTGTCTGTTAAAACTCATAGGTAATGAAAGGAGAAGGCTACAAATTAATTATTGAAATTTTGACAGGCTCCAAAGAGCAGGAGGAAGCATGTATAAGGCTGGAGAATCTTGTAGTATGTGTCGTCTGTCTTTACATATAATTTTTCTTTGCTTTAAGAAAAGAAACATTGGGGAAAATATGTACTTAAAATTGGTAAGGCCAGTCTGTATCTGGGGGGCCAGTATCTGTTCATTGGAATAAATGAGTTGAATGTAATCTAATGATAATCATTCTTCACATTTGCCAGAGAAAAGTGACTCAAGTAAGTATGAGGGCAAAATATTTTTTCTGAGTCAAGAAGTGGGTATAGACTGATTTAATAGACATTCTTATTTCAGTATAAAGGGGTCTTTGAAATTGTTTGTAGAGCTTGGAGTTATGTTCCAGGATAGATGCGTCAGGTCAGGAGGCCAGTGTATTTCCCCCATAGGGAAATACACTGCTGAGGTTGGTCCCCCAAAGGGAAATGCACTGCTGTAAACTTCTGGTTAGGAGGAAATCAGAGGAAGCTCACACTGTGAGAGTTGGGAGGGACAAAGACCAAGCTATAGTCTCTAGAAGTAAGACTTTAGTGACCCTGATGTGTGAGCAGTCAAGGAGTTTCGGAAGCTGGTTAAGCCTTAGAGCACTGGGCAGAGAAAATGAAGAGTTCTGTTTAACAGGTATCAGGCCCTTCTAATTCTGAAGTCTCTGGTTGATGACTGATATTTTTGTCTAAAAGATCAGTACTTCTTGACAGCCTGGCCACATTTCTCCCAACTGTTATCGTCTTTGACACCCAGGCAGCCGGTTTCATTATCAGCTGTACTTTTTCTCCCCATATCTTACTCCCTGTCTCCTCTTCTTGCTGCTTAACATTTTTTCCTTTTCTTCTTCTTTATCATTAGATGTTCTCAGTATTAGGTTTTTCTTTCAACTATAATAGATTCTCAGAAGTCCAACTCAGGTGAGAAACAGCAAACTTGATGTTGAGTTGAAACTGGTTCTCTGGTAGACTAAGCAAGATGTCGCCAATTTTGAGATTACTTTGGCATCCAAAGTCAGTAAAGCCAAGAACAGTCTAAGATGGTATCTCAGTGGCCACTGTGCCAGAGTGAGAGAGAGACACACACACCTACAGAGGCCCTGATGCATAGTAAGCACATTGTACAATAGCAGCACTGTTTGTACTTTATGAACTGGGCGTGTTTGTGTGGCTTTCAGTTGAAGACATTCTAACACTACCCACTTAGGTAGAGAGGCTTAGAGTTTCGAGGCGTTTTTTTTCAACTTACACCAGTTAGTTCACTGTTCCTTCTGTCAGAAAGTAGATATAATCAGTCTTCAACCTGTCTTTTTTTTTCTTTTTATCAATTTTACATCAAATTCATTTTCATAAGAGAAAAATAGGGTGCACTTATCCAAATTTAAAAAATAATTCCAAACTTTACATTCTCAAGAATAATTTAGAAATTCACATGACTTTTCTAAGCTGTTTCTCTCCCGTTACCCCCAGTGGGGGCAGATTGAGTTTGGGAACTAATTATAATTAGATGGATATTCTTGATGGAAAGACTCAGAAAATGGTGCTTCTTCCTTGACCTGGAATGGAAAAACAGAGGAAGTAATCTCTCATTTTTAAAAAAGTGGCTAGTAATCTTCCTTATTAAAATATGTAGGGTTCAGAAACCAATTAGCTCTGTTCCAACCAGTTGAATATTTCAGAGTTTTGTTGACTCCCAGTCATCCCGGGGCAGGAGCTCACCTTCATGAAGAGCATCTTGTACAACATAGGTGTTAGATTAATAGTAATGGTTTAGTAGGAATATCAAATACTTGAGCCTTAAACTGGACCTTTAGAAAAGGGAATTTTAGAGGGATCTGGAAATCCTTGCATTTTCTTGAGGACAAATGAGGTGATACCTTTTAAAAAGTGGATCTGAGGGGCCAGCCCGGTGGTGTAGTGGTTAAGTCCGCACGCTCCGCTACGGCGGCCCAGGGTTCACAGGTTCAGATCCTGGCCGTGGACCTATGCCACGCTCATCAAGGCATGCTGTGGCGGCATCTCATATATTTAAAAACAGAGGAAGATGGGCACAGATGTTAGCTCATGGCCAGTCTCCCTCACCAAAAAAAAAAAAAGTTGGTATCACTTTTTAAAGGCTTGATCTGTGCATCTGGCAGTTTCCACTTTGTTACCAGCATGTTGCTGGCACTGAACATTGTCTGAGGGAAGCATCAAGAGGCAGAAGAGGTGGCTTTGCCAATCAACTTGAAACATTCCTGTTCACGTTTATTTAATCAGTTGCTTCCATGCAAACACTTTTCTGGTTGCCTCTCGGCCTTCTTTTCCTACTTAATGCTGTCTTTGACTTTATTTATGTAGGGGAGGGGAAGAAAAAACAGGGGAAGAATTAGAGCACTGTTCAAAAATATTCCTCTCTAAACCTTACAGTTAATTTTAGGGAGAGCTTTGGAACACAGCTCTAAAATCAGTGAAATGGTTGTGAGTGCCTTTGCTCTCTACAGGGGAATTTTATAAGCAAAAATTATTTCAAATTAAAAAAATGTTTTTAACCATAGGGAAAAAAGTTTAAGTCATATGTATTTTAATATTCAGTATTTCAACTTTCTTGGGGCAATTTTTAAAACAGGTTTGGGCTACCCAAATTGTTCTTCCAGAGTTCTTGTAAAGGCTAAGAGAACACGGAATTATTGTTAATTAGATGTTTAGAATTTATTATAGTTAGTATGTGTTTTGGAGGATCACTTTTTATTTTGATATAATTTCAAACTTATAGAAAAGCTGTGAGAATAGTATCAGGGAATAAATGATTTCAAGATAATGTGATAAGAGTAATGGTACTGGTAAGAGCAGGTGCCTTGGGGGAACATGGAGGAGGGCCATTTAACCCAAATTCGGGAGTTGGGAAATGCTTTCCTGAGGAGGTGGCTTCTAATTCAGGTGAAACTCTGAAATCATAATTTCAGAGCATGGTGATTTGGGCACTAAGACAAAGTAGTAGTAAGTTAAGGCAGTATAGGCCTGCCAACTGGACAGCTGCAGATCTCTAATTATCCATTACAGAAACTTTATCAGAAAGAGTTCAACTGAGCATCCCTAAAGTGTTTGTTGAGAAGCTGAGTGAATCCATGTGATCTTTACTTTTTCTTTTTTTTTTTTTTGGAAGGTTCGCCCCAAGCTAACATCTGTCACCAGTCTTCCTCTTTTTGCTTGAGGAAGATTCGCCCTGAGCTAACATGCCAGTCTTCCTCTATTTTGTATGTGGGTTGCCACCACAGCATGGCTAATTAGTGGTGTAGGTCCATGCCTGGGATCTGAACCTGTGAACCCGGGCTGTTGAAATGGAGCATGTGAACTTAACCACCAGGCCACGAGGCCAGCCCCATGACCTTTACATTTTTAAAAAATAAATGATATACATACACGGTAAAAAGTTTTTTTAAGTGGAAAATGGTATACGCTGTATATTCAGTGAGAGGTCTTCCTTTCACCTGACCTCATTTGTGCTCCCTGACTTCTTCCTCTTAGGGACAGTATAACCAGTTTTCGGCGTGTCCTTTGGAGATAGTCTGTACATATACATGTGTGTATTCTCCTTTTTGCTACATTATGATAGCGCACTGTTCTATAATGGGTTTTCTACTTGATAACATATTTTGGAGATTGTTTCCTATCAAAATACATATATATCTGCCCTGTTTATAATAGCTGCATGGTATCCCATCCTGTACATAGTTTATTTAACCAGTCTCCTACTAATATCTAGGTTGTTTTTAGTCTTTTGATAGTACAGACACTGCTATGGGAAATATCCTTGCACATCATTCCTTGTGTGAGTGTTTCTTTAGGATGTACTCTTAGAAGTGGAATTGCTGGGTCAAAGGATGTGTAGACTTTTGACATTTTAGACAGAAAATGTGATTTTATTAGCATTTTTATCCTGTAAAACAGTCTTACAACTTTTGATAAGGAATGGGAAAAAATAGGTATATTATATTTAACCACGAGTGCCATTTTTCTATTGTTGATTGCTGTTCGATAGGAGGATACTTACTGACTTTAAGAAAAGGTGACACTTTATGGTTGGGGGTGAGCTAGAATATCAAAGTAGTATTAATCATAATTATCAAAGTATCGCTGGGTTGATTCTGGTTGGTTGTATCTCAACTTGATCTTTTCCTTAATGTCATTAAATGACGGAAACAACCTGGTGGTACGGTCCTAGAGAGCAAAACTGTCTTAATATTAATTTACTGCTTCCATATGGTGTTAAGTTTTCGTGGAGACTTAAATACTGTGCAGCACACAAAACATAACTGACCCTCTCTGTTCCCTGCCCTACTTGTGTTCTGTGGACACTGCAAATAATGGAGCTTATAGTGTGCTGACTAAAAGTTTTGATGAGAAAGTTGGGATCTAGAATCCGTTTTCTCTCTTGAAATAATACATTCCTGAGATTTCAGAGAGAAGACCAGACTTCTTGTTTTTTATCGACTCTGTATGTAATTAGCATAGGAATAATCACTTGGAATACTAATAATAATTAAAAATTTTATCGTGAAATATTTCTGTCTAAAATTATTTGACTTCACCTTTGCAGACTATGGGCTTGGAAAAACACTGCTATCTCAATTGTTTGCTTTTTAAATATGACTCTTAAAAACCTGTTTTGTGGGCCGGCCTGGTGCCATAGTGGTTAAGTTCGCGCGCTCTGCTTCAGTGGCGCGGGGTTCGCAGGTCCGGATCCCGGGTGTGGACCTACACACTGCTCATCAAGCCATGCTGTGGTGGCATCCCACATACAAAATAGAGGAAGATGGGCACAGATGTTAGCTCAGGGCTAATCTTCTGCAGCAAAAAGAGGAAGATTGGCAACAGATGTTAGCTCAGGGCCAATCTTCCTTACCAAAAAAAAAAAAAAAGCCTATTTTTGATAGGAGTTTTCTTCAAATGTTTTAAACATTTCTGTGCCTTCTTAAACAGGATATCAACCATCACTACAAAAGCAATCTAATCAGTTCTTGGTGAGTAGGGCCACAGTTAGAAACTTGAGTTGTTCTTAATAATAATAATATAATATTAATAGTATAATTAATAATATATTAATAATAATATTATTCTCAATAATAATATTCTCAGAGCTGATCGAAGTATAAGGAAGGGCTTTTTGGCTCATACCAAATGGCTCAAGACCTTTTCCTGTAAGAGCCATAGTCCCAGATCTGATTTGTGGTTTCTAATTTATTGTGGGTTAGGATAACCTGATAACCTGGCTTCTTAGAATTATATGTAAAATAAAAGTAAAAAGGCTCTGGGTAGGGCCAAGGGACCATGCTGTGATGGGAATCCAAGTGCCTCCTGCTACTCGGAGTGGCCAGATATGTAACTGTCATTTAGGTGAGGTGCCGTTGTAACTGGCTGAAAGAGGGGTGAGTTTAGTCAGTGTTACTGAGATGTGTTGGCTGGTGTTAGGCCATCTGGTGGCTCAAAACCTGATAGGAGGGACATGGCTAGTTGTCCATTATAACAAAATAGTTAATATTGCTGACTATAGAGATGAAAGATTATGTTTTCCAAATTAGCAAGTGCTGGTATGTTTTACATCCCAGAAGATAGATGAAACCTAAGACCTGCTTCAGTCTGATTCTGTAATTCTATAAGATAGGTATAGAATATGTTAGTAGATAGATTATCTAGAAGAGAAAGTAGAAGACTGTTCATATAGGAGCAAAAAAGGGACAGGAGTGGAAAAGACTATTTAAGCAGTAAAAGATAGCTAAGGGGAGGGTTCGTGACTTTTTCAGTAGGATAGTTACTGGGATTTAAGTGTGTGTGGGGGTAACAATAACTATTACACTGTCTTTTCCCTTCTAAATTTGGAATCAACTGGGAAGTAGATTCTTTAATCAGTGGGTCAAAATTTTTAAAAAATCAGCCTTACTGGTGCAGCTGACTAGAGAATATGCCATAGATCTGTGCCCAAATGGGCTTACTGATATCCCCCGTCCCCCCAGTTAAACTTACCCCAACAGGGTGCTGGACATCTGGGACACCCCCATCCCCTGCAGGTTGCTTATTGCAGGGTGGAGAGAACTGCTGGCATCCTGCAGACCATGCCTAGGCCTGCTGGTGCCTCAGCTCTCCTAGAGAGCCCAGGAGGGGAGGACCATGGGCATTAGTTTCTTCTCCTGGTTGTTGAAGGGTTGGGGAATGAGATCTGAAACATAGCTGAAGTCTCGTCTCAGGGAAATTTGAGGCTAGGAAATAGTGGCCCTCCACTACCAGTATGCTGGTGAAGTGCTTTTTGTCCCCCCTTCCCAGTAAATTGAAGCGTTAGCTTAAATTGTTAGATCAAGAGAGTTATACATCTCTGTCCTTAAAAACTCATAAAAATGGGGGAAAATCAGTCTGGTTTTAGATATTTGGGTTAATCTGGAGGCAAAGGCAGAGACTGGGTGGTTGCCTAGCAGTCTGTCTGTGGATGTTCATTAAAAAGTATTTGCCTACTTCCCTGAAATACCTTTTGCTTCAATTTGGTTTTCAAGTGTTGCCAGCAGAAACGTGATTAAGACTTTTACATTTTTTATTAAATATCTCTTAATCGTGTTCTGAAAACTAATTATTTTCAAGGTTATCTAATTCAGTAGAAGATTTACTCTTTTCACACAGTAAGGGTTCATTTGTACCGAGTAACAAAATGCTGGTTCTCAACTTGTTAGTTTGTTCTCGCTAATTCCTCTCCCTCCTTTTTCTCCTTTCCAGAATCCTCTTCTGAGCACTCGGGCACTCAGGTATCCACCATGGTGTTGGGTCCTGAGCAGAAGATGCCAGATGGTAATTTACAGCTTTGTGTTATTGTCTAATTTTTATTTGGTTTTAGGCTTGAGTCAGTAATAGAAATTTACCATATTTCCCTTCTTGTCTGTTCCAACAAAAATTGTCCTCATCTCCTTTCTCCCAGCCAACAATATCATCACGGAGGGGCCGGCCTGGTGGCATAGCAGTTAGGTTTGTGCGCTCTGCTTTGGTGGCCTGGGGTTCCCAGGTCCGGATCCCAGGTGCCGACCAACACACCGCTTGTCAAGCCATGTTGTGGTGGCGTCCCATATAAAATAGAGGAAGGTGGGCATGGATGTTAGCCCAGGGCCAGTCTTCCTCAGCAAAAAGAGGAGGATTGGCAATGGATGTTAGCTCAGAGCTAATCTTCCTCACTGAAAAAGAAAAATTATATATATGTGTAATAAAAATAAAAAAAAATTATATATATATATACATACACACATATCATCACGGAGACCTGCTCCATTCAGAAGTCATCATCTGGTGACTTGAAAATGGATTTATAGCCACAGACACCTGCCTCATATCTTACTTTAAATTCTGAGATGAGCCAAAATTAGCTACAAGGTTGGCTTCTATAGCAGTAATGCTTGCAAGGGCAGTATTATTCGCAGACCTGGCATAAAAACCTCTGGAGTGCTTTGGCTGCTCCTGGCACTTCAGATATGCATGAAGCAGTAAAATACTGCATGAGCACCTTATACTGTGTATTTTATTAGAGCTTCTTGAGTGCTTTGACTAATCGTTCCTAATTCTAAATTTGCCTTTTAGAGTTTCCATTCCTTTTCTATAAATTTCTTCATCAATTCAGGGCCACTTAAGATGAAGTGGGTCAGCTCCCTGTAGAAAGAATGCTTTTGTTTGTCTAATTGGAGATGCAAGGATTTCTTGGAAACACTGAGATTAGAGTTTTGTGGTTCAAAATAGCCATTTGATGGCTGCAGCACACTGGGCTTTGTATCCTTCTGGCAGATTAGCCATTTTCTCCCAGGCCCTCCCTCTCCCTGCATTTTAGATGAACTGCAAAATGCAGGACTCAGGGAAACACTGATATCAGTCTGAGAAGAGCCCTCCTATCAGGAGAGTGCCAGCACCCCGTGACCTGAAGCTCTTCACTGCAGACCTTAGTCAGGAGGCAAAGGGTTCCTGCAGCTTCAGATTTTAGCCTGAACTGTGGCAGGATTTTGCAGCTTCCACGTTTTTTGAGAAGCCTGACAGAGGTATAATGTCTAAGGATGATTCTTTGAGTAAGTCGTACCAAATAACGGGGTGTGTGTGTGTGTGTGTTCCACTAGACTGACCTAGTTATTTTTTTTTTAAAAGTTAGGATTTTAGGTACCGAAGGGGCTAGTCTGGGAATGTTATATTTTGAGCCCTAGGCATCAGTATTTTTAGAAGAAAATGAAATGGCTCTGAAAATTGCCGAGTGGGCATAGAAGTGTGAAAGCACAAAAACCATTTGTGAGATTAGTGTTAAAACTGATTTAGAGCTGAGTGACTGGAGAAGATGGGTGAGAGGGAGCTTTTTTACCTTAAGCTTTTTTGTACTTCTTGAATTTTCAACCATGTGAATGTATTGCTTGTTAAAGAATTAATTTATTAAAAATATAAATAAAAATAAACTATTAGAAATAAACTGAGCTAGAGTCAGGTTGGTCTTATGCATTTAGGTATTAAAAAGATTTAATTTCAGTATTACTAAGGATGAGTTAGCATATTTGTTCATTTTTATGCATTTCTTCTCAAATCTGTTAATTCAGATGATGCTTCTGGAGACCATGGGGACTTTGCCAGTCTTGGTGCCATCAACTCTGCCTACAGTAACTCCTCTCTTCCTCAGTCCACCGGGCAATCAGAGGAACCCTTCACCACCTACTTCGATGAGAAGATTGCCATTCCTGAGGAGGAGGTTAGTGACAGGTCCTTGGAGGATAACATTATTATCTAGGGAAAGCCTATGAGTGAAAAGTCTACTGGACAAGTCAAGATCAACAGCCTTAGATCTAATTTTGGCAAGCAATCTCTGAAGATTGAAGTTTTGTAATCAGAATAAATAGAAACTGTTAAGGAAAATGAGGGCCTTGAAAACGGTTGCCAAATTGTACTAGTGAGCATTTTTTGATCAAGAAAGTATGAATTTCATGTTCCATTTTTACAGTGGCTTTTGTCCCATTTGGGTAGTGGTTGGGCACAGAGGTACTGATATTGTTCCTTGGGTTTTAGACTAAGAGGCTGATGGGAAGAGCAGGGAAGGGAAGGGCTCTTGTTTAGACAGAAAAGTGGCCAGCTTATTGATGAGAAGTGGAGAGGATGGAAGTGAAACTTGGACACATGCAATATCCCACAGCCTAAATCCGTTGTTCTTGTGAAGCTGATACTGTTGCTTTATATGTGATAAAATAACAGATCAGTAGTGAATTAGATCAGTAGTTTGGAGGTGATGAAAAGTTTGATCTCTTTTCCTCTCTTGTACAGCACTCTTGTTTTAGCTTTCGTAAACTCTGGGCTTTCACGGGACCGGGCTTTCTTATGAGCATTGCCTACCTGGATCCAGGAAACATCGAATCTGATTTGCAGTCTGGAGCAGTGGCTGGCTTTAAGGTGAACATCTAGTCCTACCCCTGTCTCTTTTAAACACACACAACACACGCTCACATCCTTTTCCTCTACCTTGCCGGTTGGACATCAACCCCGGGGGCTACATAGAGATACTTTGTTGGCAGTGACACTTAAGTACTTTCCCATCTGGTTTTTATTTTATTTTATCCACATAGTTTCCGTGAACAAAGGAGAAACTGCAGATGGGAGAAACTAAAGCTCAGAAAGGTACAAGGTGACATAACAAGGTCATGTGCAGAACCTGATACGGAACTCAGGTCACTTGATTCCTGACCTGGGCTCTTTCTTGAATGTAGTGCTTCCCATTCACATTGCCAAACAACTAGACAAACCCCAGTTGTCTAATAGTATTATGTGGGATTTTATTCTTCTCTAGTTGCTCTGGGTTCTTCTGTTGGCCACCATTGTGGGGCTCCTGCTCCAGCGCCTTGCAGCTAGACTGGGAGTGGTCACTGGGCTGCATCTTGCTGAAGTGTGTCACCGTCAGTATCCCAGGGTGAGTAATGTACTGTCTGTTCGTCTGTCACTCATGTCATAGGAATCTGTGTGTCTGGCATTATGTGCTGGCCTCACCGTGTACTGAAACTGGAGGACTTGGGGGTCCCAAGGGAAATTCTGTAGCCCCACTTGCTGCTAAGCCGTGGTTCTCTGCTCTATCAAAATCTAACTTGAGATTCACTTTTTCCCAGAAAATTTCCTTAGAAAAACGCTGTTTGAGTAAATATTTATCATTCACTTTGCCTTCTGGCATCTAGCACTACGCAGTCCATGGAGAGGGGAGGGGTGCTCTCTCTAAGCACTTTCGTTCATACATCCATCAATATTACTCCATCACTGTGTATTATACGTATTTTCTTTTCTGACTTTGCCATCAATTTGAAAAAAGTAAGTTTTTTCCTTTAGTTACAAACTATATGTGGCAGGATCTTTGGATTTGCTACTAATTATTTTTCAAGTGACCCTGACCCTGGAGGTTATACTGTCCTCTGTAGCTTCCTTCTGGACATTTTGGGCTTTCTTAGTGCCATCTAAGGCAGGAATGGACCCTGTGTCTGGAAGACAGCTTTAACCTAGCTTCATCTTTAGATAAGATACTAATCTACCTCTGGTTTGTCCTTGGTGTTTAGTTTCTTTTCCTGGCTGTGAGAAAGTATCTTTATCTGCTTTTTTTTTTTAAATATATGCCTCTCAAAAAAAACCTTGGTAATTTATAATCCTTTTAGCTTCTCTTTCCTCATGTGTCTTAGCAGTTGTTTTTCATGACAAATTTTTTGGATAGTAGGTACCTGGAAGTGTTTTTTTTTTCCTGGCCTCAGTGAGCCAGCATTAATCAAATTTGTCTTTCAGCTGGATTGTTTAACCAGATTAGTTTCCTATTTTGTTATACGCCACCCAATTCCAACCACTTTGCCCAGAGTCCCTTTGCATATCTGTCCTTTTCACTTGCTTATGTATTATTATTACATTAAGAATGACACCAGCCTTTTCACATTTGTTTTGTCTCTTCAGCTATGGTCAGTATAGATATTTTCTTCTGCAGTCATTTTCTGTTCTCTCCTAAACAATATTTTGACCATACTGGCACCCTCCTTTTCCTCTAAAACTTGCAGGATTATTTTTAGGCAGGAAATTTTAAGTGGAAATTAATAAATGGAAATTCCATTCCTTTCTTGAGTGGAAAGGAAAGAGAAAAAATTAAGATTAGCTGCCGCCCTGACCTTGTCTCATAGGCTCTGCCACGTGGAATCACCCTTGCCTTTTCCAGCTAGGGGCCACAGTACAATGATGGGCCAAGTGGAACAAAGTTCTGGTACTTCATGTCTAGACTGAATGCCTTTAAAGGACTGTTTCTGGGTCAGTGCCAAAGTGTGAATTCTAAACTATGGAGGAAGGTCTTAGAAATGATTAATTAGAATCTTCTTCCTGTTGTTTGATATTTAGGTCCCACGAATTATCCTGTGGCTGATGGTAGAGTTGGCTATCATTGGCTCAGATATGCAAGAAGTTATTGGCTCATCCATTGCCATCAATCTCCTATCTATGGGAAGGTGAGGGGGTTTTCCTCTAGTAATCAATGTTTTGCTAGATTTCAAAGTAAACGTAAAAACAAAAATCCAATGCATTTTCAATTTTCAAGATTCAACTCAAGTATTATTTTTTCTCTGGAACCTTTTTGGAACCACTTTCTTCTCCCCTGGCAGATGTAGACTCTATATCTTCCATGTTCTTAAGCCAAGTTATACATACCTCTATTATACAGTGTGTGGCATTGTGTATTACAATTATTTATTTGTATGTCAGTTTATTCCACTAGACAGTGAGCTCCTTGAAGGGTAAGACCATACCTTTCAGCTTTGTCTCCTAAATGTCTGTCATACTAGACAATCAAAGTTTGAATGAATGTAATTCAGTTGACGGTGTGATCCTAAACTACCCCAGGCCTTGCCTCCTGCCACTGTTCATTCTCCCCCAAGTCCTTGCTTCTCCACATGTTGTATATCTGGAGAGTTGTTGGGAAGAGTGTTTCTGTTCTTTTCCTTTAATCTCCGTTTCTTATCTCTGACCTAGGATTCCTCTGTGGGGTGGAGTTCTCATCACCATTGCAGATACCTTTGTATTTCTCTTTTTGGACAAATATGGTAAGGAGAATGGGAATGGAGGAGTTAGTCAAAGGAGCCACTTTCCATCATGTGGCTGATGGGGGGGTCTGCCTTCTGTGAGCTCACTGCTGCATTTTCTCTTTTAGGCTTGCGGAAGCTAGAAGCATTTTTTGGCTTTCTTATCACTATTATGGCCCTCACTTTTGGATATGAGGCAAGTGTTACAGGCGATTCATTAGCTTTTTAAAACAAAAAAAACTTTTTTCTTTTTTTCCTTTTATTTTAGAAGACAGTATAATGCTAGGATGGTTTAATTGTATCACATGTTAACAAAAAGCCAGTTCAGCCCCACGCCAATTTTGAAGGAATATGATCTATAGCAGAGACTAGTGTTAAGGAAGGCCTGTAGGGACTCCTAGGTCAAAAATGACTAGACTTCCTAGGACTTTCCAGACTAGACTCTCTGGTTCCAAGTTGGCCATCCTGACAACAGAATAGCCTTGGAGAAGGTTAGGGAGGAGGTTGCAGGTTTATTCTTGGCTCTTACAGGGGTTCTGTTTTCCTCATCCTGGTTTATATTAACTGCAGCTTGAACTTTCCCTGTATTGCAATAGTTAATGAACTAGGGGATATAGTGGATGTTTCCTGGTTTGTGCCACAACCCAGACATTCCTAGGAATCAGTACCATTATATGCAGTAATAGCATCTTTCTATGTCCAATCATTATAAACTGATTTCTGCTTATTGGCCTGGTTAAACTCTAAAAAATACATCTCATTTATGAGTAGGTTATGCAGCTTGGTCTAAGGCTTCCAAGAGAAATGCTGAACCAGGAAAAAGTATGTATGAGAAGTGTTAATGAATGAGTCTCAGCATATGCTAGTGGCAAACAGTGATTTTTAGATGAACATAGGTGAATGGAAGCATGGTAAATGCGGATAATCAAGAATTGACTCTATATTCTTGGGTCTGTCTCATAGGAGTTATTGTGAAGCTAATATCAATAAGGCAGTTAGCAGCCATTTTATTTCTTTAGAATATTAATTACATTCTATACACATCTATTTTGTATTTCTAAAATATGATACCCCAGCCCTGAATTCTGTGACCCCTGGCAGCAAGCCCCTGATGCTGCTTGTTTTTTTGATGATTCTGTATTCCTTATTATCTTCGGTAGTTGTTGAAGAAGGGGTTGTAAGGAGCAGAGGATGCTGAGTGTTTCCTACTACTATGTTACTCCCCTGGTCTCATTTTCCAGTAAAGACTAATGGTTGTTATGTTGGTATATAGTATATTACAGTGCAACCCAGCCAGAGCCAGGTACTGAGGGGCATGTTCGTGCCGGGCTGCTCAGGCTGTCGCACCCCACAGGTTGAGCAGGCTGTGGGCATCGTGGGAGCTGTCATCATGCCACACAACATGTACTTGCATTCTGCCTTAGTCAAGGTGAGCAAGGCCCTTATCTCAGTGGCCTCCTGGGTTGGTCGTGGAATCTTTTCCTTCAGTTGCAAGGGACACACACTTAGTTTACCAGTTAGAGCCCTGAAGGAGCAAGGTGTTTTTCCATGGTTGGACATTTATAAGCTCCACACACTTGGACTCTGTTTTTATCAACCTTGGTGACCAGAGATAACTGACTTCACAGAAAAGCTGGGACTAAAGTTTTTCATAAAAGGCCTGAAAGTGCACCATTCTCTTATGTTTGCATCTCAGAAGCATGAGTGGCCTTGTGGAGGTCAGGAGTAAAGGAGCCCAACCAGGCTTTTATCAGTCAGTCTTACATAACAGTTTGCTGGGAGATTTCAGAGACCTTTATAATTAAGGTTATATACCCCTTAGGACTGAAATCAGGTTTTTGTAGGTCAGTGGTTCTAGCCACAATAACTAAGAGCTCAGTAGTCACTTAGTCACTCTTCCCTATTTGGGGAATGTGCAGTGTCGTCAGGGGGTCATGAAGTTCTTACTCACTTAAGGAACTAGGAAGTAAGCAAGTTCTCTCACAATTCATCTGGTCAATTGTTTGCCCTCTAAATCTTTCATCTGACTCCAAACTCTTGAAATATTACAAGGAAACTTGTTCCAACTAGTCAAAAAATAACTGCTGTTGTTATCTCTCTAGTCCAGACAGGTAAACCGAGCCAGTAAGCGAGAAGTTCGAGAAGCCAATAAGTACTTTTTCATTGAATCCTGTATTGCTCTGTTTGTTTCCTTCGTCATCAACGTCTTTGTCGTCTCAGTCTTTGCTGAAGCATTTTTTGAGAAAACCAATGAGCAAGTGGTGAGTAAGCCAGGGTCTTGAGTGGTAGTGAATGTGAGGGTAAGGTGAAGGCTGGAATGGGGTAGGAAAATATGACAATGATTTGGAGCTCAGGGGAAATAGATCTCTAGCCTCAATGTTGACCCCTAAATCACTGCACTAGTCAGAGTCTACAGTCTGGGGGCTGAGCAAGCCTAGACTCTTCTTTCCCAGCTTTTGGCTAGGAAGGGAGCTTGCTTCAGACTAAAGATTGCCTCATGCTGTTTTGTTCGCATCTGTTTGGCTCTTTGTCATCCTCTTTTGTTTCCTTTTTATCAACTGCCAGTCTGCTTGCCAGTCCTGCCCTTTGGTGATGAGGACGGGTTGGGAGGAGTCAACACGCAGAAAACAGACACTGTGGCTAGGACAGACTGTTTTGTCATTTTGAATTCTCTCTCATCTTGATTCCTGATTGCCTATCTAGTTTTGATCACACTTTGTTTCCCATGTAGGACCTCTGATTCCTCACTCTGCTTTGACTAAGGACTCCCTGTTCTGGGTGTCCTCTCATATTTGAAGCCTTCTTAAGAGGCTTTTCCTCCTTTCATCTTTTAAAATGACCCAGTATTCATGTATTACCATGCACACTGTAACTCAGTAAATATTTTTGATGCCATGGGGGTATAGAAAGATTATGGAGGAAGACCACAAGTGACATTGCGGCCAGTCTCTGCTCCCATCACAACCTGTATCCAGTGTCTTACCTCCAACCTGCGTCTCGTAGATGACTTGCGTGTGATCTGTAGGAGACCTCTTTTTTCTGGTCTTTGCCTTGAAAATAAAAGTTGCTTGTAAACTGGTTTGTGTTCCAGCTTCAAGTCTGTAGCAACAGCAGCAGTCCCCATGCTCACCTTTTTCCTGATAATAATGCAACACTGGCTGTGGACATCTACAAAGGGGTAAATCTATTCAGATTTGTGATCTTTGCTCCTGAATCAATATTCTTGGAATAGTATCTGGTATTTTCTGTGGGTTCACTTCAGAGCTGACCATATCTTCTCTGGAGTGTCATTTATTTAAGAGGTTCAGATGCCAGACAAGCAGTTTGGATACATGGGAGGGAATAGAGGATAAGCTGAAAAGATGAATTGTATCAGCAATGTCCAAACTTGTGTTGACAGTATATTGTTCTACAGGATGTTAATTGGGGTGACTGAAGAAAGTGTTCCTGATAAAGTGTTCTTTATCGGGTCTCTCAATTCCTTTTATGCCAGTTACATTGTGCACCTCCAAGAGTAGAATTATTTATTTGACCTCTCTCTCCGCTCCTATTACCATCTTCCAGAATAGTGTGTTAAGACATATAATTTGAGAAATACGGTACAGACCTTTTTTTCTTTTTTAAATATGTAAGATATAGGTTGAGGATGAAGGCTTTAGGAGCTTGGAGAAGAGAAAGGACTAGGCTGAGGAATGAAGAAGCATCCAGCAAAATTTAGGTTGAAAGCCTCTAGAATGAGGTCAGGACCTGGGTCTAGCTTCTGGGATAGTGCCCAGTGCAACACTCGGTGTGGGTGGGTGCACAGCAAAGAAGAGGGAGAAATGCCACAGAGAAATGCTGTTTGGGGTGTTGTCTAAGCAGATCATTGACACACATATCTTTGTCTCTTGCACCTCCCAGGGTATTGTGCTGGGATGTTATTTCGGGCCTGCCACACTCTACATCTGGGCAGTGGGGATATTGGCTGCAGGACAGAGCTCCACCATGACAGGAACCTATTCTGGCCAGTTTGTCATGGAGGTACGTGCTGTTTTGACTGGTATAGACTAGAGGAAGAGGACATTGCCTTTTTGTTACTTCTTAATCTCATGCTTCTCAGGTCTTCCTGAACCTCCCCAAACCTTTTTCTGTTTCCAGAGATTCATCCTGCTTCTGTATTTTCTTCCAGGGATTCCTGAACCTAAGATGGTCACGTTTTGCCCGAGTGATTCTGACCCGCTCTATTGCCATCATCCCCACTCTGCTTGTTGCCATCTTCCAAGATGTAGAGCACCTAACGGGAATGAATGACTTCCTGAATGTTCTGCAGAGCTTACAGGTGAGGAGGGAGCGGGGGAAACTCACATCCCATTTAGCGAAGCAGTATAATGTATTGCCCTTAGATACCAAGCCTAGTGTTGGGTGCTGGGGAAAATTCAGAGGAATAAAGAAGTGTGGTCTTGGTTTGCAGTAAATATATATGAAATCCCTGGCATTAAAAGGCTTTCAGAAATGGCTTGGTTTTTTTAAAGCCTGTTGAATGGGAATTATAAGCTGTAATTACATGTAGAACACAGAATTATTGTTCATTAATCCAAGCAAACATTAAATAACTGCTAGGTCCTATGGAGGTTAAGAAGACAAGGCAGATACAAACATTTGTAAAGATACTTAGAATACTAATTGATGCTGGTTAATGACAGCTTTATAGATTTCAGCACAATGCTCCAGCATGTTGGGATGATGGGGGTAGTTTCTCATGGGGTAGATGAGGCAGGGTCTGTGTTTCCCTTTTGCTAACAGTGCTGCAATCTGGGGTGATACAAAGACTCCAGTATCCCCATCTGATCTTAATTCTTTGTTTTCCAGCTTCCCTTTGCTCTCATACCCATCCTCACGATGACAAGCTTGCGGCCAGTAATGAGTGACTTTGCCAATGGAATGTGAGTGTACTCCTCTCAGTTCCCCAAAGATATGTGGGGGAAGGGTCTCTTCATTAAATAGGCCAGTCAGAAAATGAATCACATAGGGAAACTATGTGCTTTGAGAGCTGATTGCGAGAGCTGCCCCCTCAATCTTTGGCTTAGAAAATGGAGACTGTAAAAGTAGCGAAAGAGGGCAAGCATATCTTTCATTTTGGGGGGAAAAAATTTTGCTTTTAGGGCTTTAACTCTTCAAACTTCACCCACTGAAGTTTAAAGCACCTTAATTCCATGTTAAATGATCTTAATGAGAAAGGCATAAGCTACCTTATATATACATCTTTAAAGGATATCAGGTATTTGAAATGACTTGTTGCTTCTCTAGGGACTCTCATGACTTGTTGCGTTTCTAGGGACTTAAATAATAGGAATTATTTGACAGGTCTTTTTTTCCTCTTTCTCCCTATCAGTGTTTAACTTTGGCTCATTTAACCTAATCTAGCACATAGTAAGAACCATTTTTCGTTTCATTTTGAAATGCCTCCTACTCCTGTCCCATCCGCCCCACAAGACGCAGCATCCTTTTCTGTTTGTGGACAGGTTGGACTGTTCTACCAGTGACGGTGCTGATTCTCTTACAGAGGCTGGAGGATTGCAGGCGGAATCTTGGTCCTTGTTGTCTGTTGCATCAACATGTACTTTGTCGTGATTTATGTCCAGGAGCTAGGGCATGTGGCATTGTATGTGGTGGCAGCTGTGATCAGTGTGGCGTATCTGAGCTTTGTGTTTTACTTGGTAAGTCCAGTTGGGAGAGGGCAGGGGCATAGGTATCAGGGATGGTAGAGGTGGGACTGACTAACACTCAGAAATGAAAGGACTGCACACAGCAATCTGTCTCCAGGTTATTGAGACAATTTACATGAAATTGTTAAATCAGCAATGGTTAAGCAATATTTTGAACTGTAAAATTTATTTTGGTTCCTAAGAGCTATCATTTTTCTATTTCTGTCACTTTGGTCTGGTTTCCATTCTTAACAATTTCTAACAAAAGACTGTAGTATGTCTGAGGAACTAAAAGAAGAGCAGCAGTACAGGAAGCAGAGAGTGTATAAGCTGAGGTTGGAGGAGGGGCTGTGCAGTGTGATTTCAGAGCTTCAGGGTGAGACACAGGTGGGTTCACAGCCCTGCTCAGCCCTGCCACTTAATAGCTGAACAATAAGGAAATAAGTAAATAGTGATATTCTCTCACCAAATTATTCTAGAGTTATTAAAAAATGGTGGTTATAAAACCATAGCTACATAGAAAAGGAATGTAGAATTGTGTATACCCAGATAATAAAATTTTTTTTCAAAAGTCTAGAGTAAATTATGTAAAAATAGTAGTTCTTTTAGGATGGTAGGATTATGGATATATTATTTTCTCTATTTTCCAAATCTTCTGTGACATTACTTTAATGGAAAACAGCTACAGCAACAACAACAGATCCACCTCCCTGTTCTATATAAGTTTCTCTGAAAAACACAAGGGTTGAGGATTAGGGACAGCAGAATTCATACCATATCTACTGCAAAGAATGGTTAAGGATGGAGGCTGGACACCTGTTGCTGATCTTTACAACACTTACCTAGTCCCCATGCCAGTGTCTGCCACAGGTTAGATACTTGATTGAGAAAATCACTTTAGCGAATATTGAAAAATTATGTCCTGGATTGATATATCCCTTCTCTTTTGTTCCCCAGTAAACCTTGGGCACACTAAGATTATGCTGACTCTGTAGTCTAGGACTTACTCCAAGGAAACCCAACTAACTGAATATATCCTTGAAAGGAACTGTTTTAAAAATTTGCTGTAGAAGTTAAGGGAATCCTTCCTTCATGCAAATTTGTTATGAAGGTTCCGAGTTATCCTCAGTCGGCCTGAAACTATTGAGATTGTTGAAGAGCCATTTTTACGGCTGAGGGCTGATTCTAGAGTGGGTTACTGCTGTTTAGCTCCAAAACATGTACTTCATAGAGCAGCTCAGGAGACTATTCCAGTTGTGTTTGTCAGTCATCCCTGCATTGTGAGGAATGGGGTAGGACTGAAGAGAGGTGTTGTTCAGGGAACTCCTAGTCAGATAAAAGTAACAAACCACAAACACAAAGCAGTAGGAACAGAGGGAACTCAGTATTGAAAATAGTATGGAAAAATTTTGTTGAGGAAGGCAGATTCCAAGATATTTTGAAGAGGGTGTGGGTGGGGTTGGGAGAGTGACTTGTGCAGCCTTGGTGGTAGAAGATAGGCAAAGCTGGATATTCAAGGAAGAGGGCAAGTTTGCAACTGGGCAGTGCATATGAGCCATCATGGTGAGGAAGAGAGTTCTTCAGAGAGGTTGGTGAATGATGACCATGTTTTATCTTTCAGAGTTGGCTATGTATGATTGCACTGGGCATATCCTTCCTGGAGTGTGGGCACATGGTAAGCATCTCTAAAGTCCTGTTGGCCGAAGAAGCCATTGATGGCTATACTAAGTAAACACTGGATCAGTCTGTCTTCCACAAGTAGCCATCAGAGCCAGTGTGTTTCTATGATTTACTGTGTGAACATAGCCAAAAGTATGTGCTGTTGCACAGACTGCATTTAGGACTCAACTGTTTGTTGAGAAAGACTTTGTTTCATGTATATTTGAAAGATGGGATTTTTTTTTTCATCTTGACCTCCTAACCTGGGAACTGGATTAGGTAGGATCTTTGAAAAGCTGACATTTGCTGCTATCATTCCAACACTAAACTCTTAAGAGCTGCCCAAGGGCCAACTTGTTTTATCCTTTTGAGAGATAATCCTCTATGCATGATTCTTAACCAGGCTATATACTAAAAAAAAACATACTTGGAAAATGTAGTAAGTTTTTCATAATACAAATTACAGAATGGGTATGCAAGTTTTGTTTATCAAAAGATACTGGATTTTAAAAGGCTGAGGAATACTTGCCTTATGCATACCCTTTCAATTATTTTAATTATAAAAAATAAAATCTCAACTAGAGTGGTTTCATCCATATTAAATGTAAAAGTATGAGACATTTACCTCTACCAGATCCGGGATTCTTCTAACTTATTTCCACTTTAAATTTCTAAGTGGAAGTGAAGAGGGGTGAGAAAGCATAAGGAAGGTGGTAAATGGCCAAATAACAAAACTCACCTGCAGGTGGTTTTTGAAGATTTTCCTCAGAGATTGAAAGCTTGTCAGAATTTTCTTGGGAGTCTTTATTTTAATAACTTGCATGTTAAAACAGAGCCTTCCTGATGATATTTACTCTTGAGCACATAGATTTGTAAAACCTTCACCTTCCTCTCCAGGAGGGTGGTGATAGAAAAAGTTGGTAGCATTTATGAACTGACATTCTCATGAGACTTTGGGGTGAGGAGAAAAGATTTGAAAGGAGAAGAGGAGCCATCTGTTTTATGCCTAAAAGTCGCCTCCTACCAGAATCGTCATGGTTTTCTGAAGCATGCTCAAGATGACTTGCATGACAATATCAGTAGCTATGGACCTAACCGTTGCAAAGCTCTCTCTCAGCAAGTCAATAGGTATCACTGTGGTTGCAACATTCTTTCTCAGCAAGGTTGCACTGGGCAACCTCTCTTCAGCCAGTCCCTCAGAGGGAAAAACTTTGAGACCAGATGGTGGAGCTCTGGAGTCAGAGGAAATGGGTCCCTTCAGCATGAAGCTGCTGCTCTTCAGACACTTCTGACATCTTTACATGTGGAGCCTGAGACTATGTGATTATCTCAAATCAAATCACGTTTGTCTGGTAGAGATAAATAATCAAGTCTTTTGTAGCCGTTGACTTGGTGAGGACAGTAATGGGAATGGCATTGAAGGACTTCTCAGTTTTGGAGCTTTCCTTCTGGAGTCCTGGTTGATTGATGTTCTCTGTTCATCTGAGCCCCTAAAGGCATCATTCCTGATGTTTTGCACACAGTCAAAAGCGCAGACTGGATGGACTGTCTTTTATAAGGCATTAAGGGTAAACTACTGTGTTTTACTGACTATACCTTTATCTTAGCCCCTCAAGTAATATAGCCCAGGATCATGAAAGACAAATTTCCCTAACCATTCCTCCTCATATCGGCCCCTCTCCCCTACCATCATTCCCCAAACTGGTCATAAGGGCACTCTGTGAAGTTATCGGGGACTGACATCTTAAGCTCTTGTCTGGCTGCAGTAGGTGAAGGTCAAATAGACAAAAAATCTTTGTAAAGACAGTGCAGTAACATTTGCCTTTGCCCTGAGTCTGGGTGGGTCCAGTCAGTCGCAGATTCACAAATATTTAGAAGCCCAGGTAAAAGCTGCTTGTATTCTTTTAAAAGTTGTATTTATGATTTGCAATGATGGAAAATTTCTTCTAAGTTAAATAGCATTTTCTAATACTATGTGTGTAGTGTTTTACACTCCCATACCGTATTCCATTTGATCCTCTCAGAAAGTGTACTTCAATCAGTACTCTGGGTGCAATAAACAATATTTAGAACTTGTCTTCCAATGCCAGCATGTACAGTGTGTTCTGGCAGTGTGTTTCTGTGGAATGTTTAAGGATATACAACTGTACTTATGTAAATTGATCTGTGTTCTCCATAAATGTGACATGAAATAATTGTGCTCCTGCTACAGTATACTGAGAATTAACAGTGATGGGGAAGAGCTGCAGTTTGGCTGCTGTGAGGTCCCGCTAGTGGTTTTAGGAGTGGTTACAACTGAACTTTCAGTGACCATTTAATAATATGTAAACTCGGTTTATAATTAAAAAAACTTTTCTTTTTCCAATTTGCTTTCCTGGGTATTTTTTTCAGCCTTGAAAATACTTTATTAATGGAGTCTCAACAACTTCGAAATACCAAAACATCAATTACCACCTGGAATGACATATGAAGCCCACACTGTTAGTGATTTTCTCTTTAGAAGGGCTAGAAAAATAAATATTTTTAGTCCCCAGAAGACTTGATTGCAGACACCAAACACTAATTTCTGTTTACTCACTTGGTCAGATAGTTTTGTTGTTGCTAAAGTTCACGTCATTACTGTATTTAAACTTGAAAAAAATTGTTATTCTGCCTTTCTGTGCTCTAAGCTGAATATTTTTGTATCTATAGTCGTCTTTTCACCATTGAAATAGGCTTTTATATTCTGCATATGCTGCCAATAAAAAGTATCAGTATTTGAAAAGAGAAACCAAATTGTTTAGCTTAAAAATGAATGAGCATTTTGGCAGACCTGATATAAATGGAAATATTGGCACCATTTAATAAAAACAAAGACAAAACTCAGGCCCACTAAACTACTAGCCCTGTCACCAGACTCTTGACAGCAGAATCTAAGTCAGCACTTCATTTGTCCTAAGGGTGTCACTAGAACTTCATTTTCCCTTTCTCTGTTGCAAGTTTTCCTTGTCTCTCTCACAGGAGCTTAATAATGTAACACCATAGAAGTAGTCTGGGAATTTTGTTCTCCATGTTGTCCTTCCTCATTTAGCTCTCCCTTCCTAATTTGGGTTTAATTTCAGAACTAAAATAGGATGTATAACAATTTGAAGATCCTGATTTGAGACATTTCCTTTAGCTCTACCCCCTGGAGTGTGTTTGCTCCTTCATTGGATGGGACCCAATGAATCTAAATGTGTCAGCTTCTCTTGGCACCTTAGCTTACGAATGTTAAAAGTGGCTAACACTTATTACTATGAGCTAGTCCTCATATGACCTCATTTAATTCTTATAACAAGAGGATCAGCCTCTATATAGATGAGGCAACTGAAAGGCCAAAAAGTAAAATAACTTCCCCAAATCACATCGCTAATAGGTGGGCAGTTGGCATTTGAACTTGAAGAGCTTAACTCCAGAGCCCATGTTATCATTCCCAAACCATCCGTATAATACATCCTACACCCTTCTTGCAAGGTTAAGACATCAAACTGGTGTTCAGCAACACCAGGAACATCAACACATCGAAGCATTTGCTTGATACTCTGGTTAGTGCTAGAATATGTTTTAGCTCAGAAGCTGCCAACTGGTAGACTAATTTTGTTTGGCTTGAGCTAAATTAAAAAAAATAACTTTGAATACTTTTTGGCAGGCGTAGAAAAAGGGGCAGGGCCCTCTATGATCTTACCCCAGCAATAGCTAAGAACTTATAGTAAGTTTACTCAAAAGCATTACCTCTGCCCCTGAAAGTATTTTAGCCTATTGCTGAGCCATTTAGCCCCATTTCTCAATGTCTCAGAGCCATATGACAAACTTCTCCAATGAAGGAGTTCTGTCTACTAAGTCATTTAAGTTAGATACTCTGGGGATCACAGACTAGAATACTGCAGCCTTTGTTTATTACATAATGAGGACGCCCACCACCTTAGCTCAGTTGAGAAAAGTCTGCAATAAATTGTCAGTGTATCTGACAATTGCTTTTGGTTACTAACACCTGAGATGTTAAGCCCCTAAAGTGAATTAAGCAAGCTGAAGTCTGAAGAGCTGTTTGTCTGCCCTAAGGCCATTGTGACTCAGTAATTCCCTAGCTCACTAGTTCAGAATAGTTTTATCTTGGCCTCCATTTGGTCTCATCTTCACACAGTCTTCACAAGCCTGTGAGGTATACAGGGCAATGTGTATAATGTGTTAAAAAAATTATATTTATTGAAGACTAACATCAGCATATTAATGTTCTTGGCATTTGCAAATTTATTCCCATTTTACAAATAAGTAGGATAAGGCTCCAAAAGCATACGTAACTTGCCCAAGGCCAAAGGAAGTGGCAGAATTGGAGCTTGAACCCCACTCTGGTGCCTTTTCCACTATACTGTGATAGGAATATTTTTTTCCAATGAATTTATAGTCTGCATTCTGCATTAACTCACAGGCTGTTGGTGCCAAGGAGCAGTAACATTCCTAAAGCCCTAAGTAATAAGAGTAGGGCTAAAATGAGACTCAATGATTGTCCCACAGTGTATGCAGAGGAGAGAAAAAGAGTAAAATGCAACTTCACAGATCCCAACACAAAGCATCTGGATTCAGGTCTCCAGGAGTGGGGTCTGGCAATGTGTTTTGAAAGCAGCTGAAGTGATTCTGATTCAGCCTGATGAACATTTGGGACCCGAAGGTCATTTCCCTCTCTCTGCACATGCCGTTTTATGTTGTTTTTAATGAAAGGCTTTTCTCTAATGCTAAGTGCCAAAGAAGAATGGGGCCCGGATAATAGGGCTCAGGATTTAGACCATTTGAAATTTGATTTCTAACACACACACTAATAAAATACAAAAGCACTCCGTGTGTTTGCTCTTAGTAACCTGATCAGAAGCACCCATCCCAGGGGCTGGCCCAGTGGTGCAGTGGTTAAGTGCGCTCTGCTTTGGCGGCCCAGGGTTCACAGTTTCGGATCCCAGGTGCGCACCGACGCACCGCTTGTCAAGCCATGCTGTGGCAGTGTCCCATATAAAGCAGAGGAAGGTGGGCACGGATGTTAGCCCAGGGCCAATCTTCCTCAGCAAAAAAGAGGAGGATTGGCAGATTTTAGCTCAGGGCTGATCTTCCTCACAAAAAGTAAAAAAATAAAATGAAGCACCCATCCTGAAGTAGAGTATGTCACAAGAATAGTCAAAGTGCAAATTTTGTGGAGGGCATTTGGCACTATCTCAATCCTTAACTATTTCAGTTTCTAGCTGTTATTTTATATAGCATAAACCATTCATGTATCTGTAAGCCATTTGTTTTCTGAAATAAAAATCAATACAGCAGTACTGAAAAAAGGCCTACATTGTTATGCTGATTATAGGTACTGAAGTGCCAATTTTAATATTTAAATACTTGCAAATCAGTCTAACTCTTTTTTATCTTTTTGTCCTTAGTACCATCTGGGATTGACAGCTCAGCCTGAACTCTACCTTCTGAACACCGTGGATGCTGACTCACTTGTGTCTAGATGACTGACAGCCTGAGAGAGTGTATAAGAACCACTTTCTCTTAGTCCTTTTGTGCCAAGTGTCCTGTTAACATATCTCTGTTAGTTCAGAGGTGAGTTTTGTTCAAACGTTTTGAACAAAAGCAAAGATTTCCTCATGGGAAGGGTGTTAAAAGCTGACAGCTCTAAGTGTAGGTCAGAGACCCACCCACCTCACAACAATCCTATAAGAGCCAGTTAAATGATTGGCCTATGATGGCCACACACCCCTATGGGCTTGTGTCTTGACTTCTGGAATTTATAAAATATGTACATATATATATTTATGTAAACCTGAACATAGTTTGGGTAGAGTTTTAAGGTTATATAAAATTGATGGATCTTTTGTATTTTTAAAAAAAAATATTGTTCAGATAAATCAGATATTTGTTTTGTCTGGATCACAAGTGAGAAAGGAAAGAGTCATGCTCTTTTTCAGAATGAACTGGTCAAATTGACTTACTTTTAAGGTGATGTTTGACTATGGCCAGTTAAATTTCACTTCAATTTTGAACAACCAGACCCTTAGCAACTACTGATACTAGCACATCATTTCTAAAGAAAACATTTCTTCTATTTGACAATCATATATTTTTTTTTGTGTTTGTGTGAGGAGGACTAGCCCTGAGCTAACATCCGATGCCAATCCTCCCCTTTTTTCTTGAGGAAGAGTGGCCTTGTGCTAACATCCGTGCCCATCTTCCTCTACTTTATATGGGACGCCGCCACAGCATGGCTTGACAAGCGGTGCGTGTGCACCCGGGATCTGAACCTGCGAACCCCAGGCCACCGAAGCGGAACGTGCGCACTTAACAGCTTGCGCCACCGGGCTGGCCCCTGACAATCATATTTAATCTTGGTTATTGGCGTGCTTTATAATTATTATTCTCTTTGTTGTCATTTTTCTTGAATTTTTCAGAGATATGATGGTATTTTCCGAAGAGGTTAATACCTAGTAACAAGATCCAGAAACCATATTTTAAGCAATGATCAGTTTTCCTTGCTGCATTGTAACTCAGCCCATTCTAGCATTCAAGTTTTAGGTATAAAGAGAAGAAACTTCCAGCATTTAACTTTGTAAGGCCCAACAGAAGATAATGGAGTTGTTAGTTTTCTTTCTAATGTTTCTATAGTCCTACCATGTCTTTTCTTCCCACTTTTCCCATTAACACACCAAACGCCATTTCTAGGTCCAAAGTCTATTTCCAGGAGTGGCTAATATTGCTAATGTTGAATTAGAGGGAATGCTAAGCGTTTTAAGATATTTATACCAAATAGTATGAGATTAGAACTAGACTGGACTTGGAAGATTAGTTCATCTGTCACAAACTGCCTGCCTACATGTGGGTTATAGGTTTTTTTTTGACTCCTCTTTCTAGCCAGGATTTTTTTTCCTTAAAATTATTATAATAAAAAACTTAATATTTAAAAATGCAAGTTTTTGCACAGTTAACTGATCGAAAAGTCAGAAAATTTTCAACACTGGGCTCGTGTTCCTGCATAAAAGTGCAGTTGACTGGAACTGAATGGCAGCTATCCATTTTTAATGGGATATACTCCAGAATGGCATACACCCCCCTTCACGCATTTCCTTCCATTCCCAAAGGCATTGAGTTTGCAAACCCTGTAGCCTTTGTATAACTTTGAGCATCATTTTCCTCTTTCAGCATAAAAGTTAAATATCTGACCTCTGCCTTATTTTAAAACTTAGTACCTTTCTTTTTCTTTTTTTTTTTTTTTGTGAGGAAGA